AGTGGCTTGAAATTAAAAATATTCCTAAGCTTCTTTATTTTTCGAGGAAAAAATTCACAAAGTTTTAAAAAATGCGACTTTCCAATCTTCAGAGCTCCACGAGAAAACCAAATAAACAAGTTTTCATGAGTTACCACACACGATCACGTACTGTGAGCCTTTTTTCTATAATTCAAAAAAAGGAAATTATTATAAAATTGAGTGGCAACATTGTTTTTTTTACAGTAAACATTCAAGGCGTTTCAGCATGCGCACCCGAATTAGTGTGTCTGTTAACGACAAGCTGAGCCACGAATCATAAGCACGAATACAGAGATATACACTAACACTGGTGTTGTACTTGTAAAACTCATTTATTAAATACCCATGTTGAGAGGATTGACTGAAAATATACCCTACGTAGTATATGTGAACGTGTGTGTATACAGAGAGAGAGAGTGAAAAAGAGAGAGAAGGATGATGATGATGTAACTGATTTATTCATACCAGGGTTTGTTGAACTGGACGGCAACTTAAAATATATTTTAAAAGTACATAAGAATTTACAGTTCTTTATATAAATAGAATTAATATACAATGTAATAGTAATTTGATAATAATAATGACGAGCTATTCAATTTAATTGGTGGGATACAATTAAGTGACATGCTGTATAAAATTTCTCCAAGTAGTAAGTAACATGTGGTCAATAAGACCCTTCGCAATGTATTGATACCACTTCAGTCGCTCTTGAATAGCCACTCAAAAAGTACAGCTTTAAATAATTCAAGAGAGCTATTAAGTCTGATGGTCTCAGAAATTTCCTCCCACAATCTTAGAGCACTCAAAACGAAAGATCGCTCGCAAGTGACAGAGCACGCAAAAGGGACAAAAAGACCAGCCGCGACACGCCTAGCGGACCTCTTCAGGCCCTCGGTCAGTGGAAATAACTCCGCCAGATACTTTGGTCTGCCCAAAGTAGGCAGCCAATAGATCATACTACCCAAAAAATATCTTCGCCTGGCATCAACAGTCAACCAGCTGAGCCGTCGATAATAAGGTCTCATTTCAGCATCATTGCCCACTCCGAAGATGAACCTCACAACTGTGTTGAAAAGTCGGTGCAACTTGAGTTGGAGTTACTTTGGAAGAAAAAAAGAGAGAGAGATATAGAGAAAAAGTCTCGAAAGAAACGAAAGAAGACGGTTTTTGACTTCGCGAGGAGGAACGGATGGGGGGTGGGGAGGGATATAGTAGACAAGAGGTACAACAACAGCGGTGCATGTGTATAACACGAGGGTGAAGGGGAGGGCACTATGTGGGGTATAGGGTCTAGATATCGAGCACTAGGGAAGTTTCCTGAGGAAGTGGGGCTGCCGGGGCTTGGGGGACAACGACGCCGCAGATCAGGAGGATGCACTCACTGTGAGCCCTTGAATTGCTCGCCCTGATCCATGGAGAGACAGCCGGCGCCGCCTCCGAAGCCGTAGCCCTTGGGCCCGAATTTACGCCCGTGGCAGACTCTGCAGTAGAGCTCGCCCTCGTGCTCGCTGCAGTTTGTCGAGTCGAGCAGCTTTTGGCAAAGACCTGCAACCGAGCAAACAGAGGCCCGTGCCCTTACCCTTTAAATTGTTCCTTTTTGTGTACAGGATTTCGTGATTGATTTTTTGTTTATGAGCTTGCAAATGGATCGGTTGACGTGAAATCAGCCAGCGTCTGACCATACATTGATATTACTACTTGGATTTTTTTCATTTCTTTTTTTTTATTTTGCAAAACAATGGTCGTAGGTGTACATGTTGTGGTGGTTAACTATCGTGACATTGAGAAGAAATTATCGACAACTTACCGCATTTGAAGCACATCTTGTGCCACTTGAGTCCACCGGCTACGCGCTCCTCGGCAGCGTACACCGATTTGTTGCATTTCGGGCACTTGGCTTGTTCGACTGGTTTGTAAGGCATTTTGTGTGTGTCTTATGCTGAAAAATAATAATCAAGTCGATTTAAAGTTACATTGATTAATCAGTTCATTTTGAAATACATTATTTTCGTCAAATCTAATAGTCTACACGAGACAAATCGCACGTTTATTTGTAATCAAGGCAAAATTGACGCAAATTTGCACCGAAAAATCGATTCATAAAACAGCATTGAGTAAGTGCCAATCCTTTGATTTTCCATTACTAATGAGATAAGCGTTAATAAAACTATGTATCTCGATGGCAATTGTATTACGAATGATTGAATTTTCGGTCCATCACCTGCAGATATTTGTGTACTGTATAATGCTTCCGGTGACAAAAACACATATAATTTAACGTAATTAATTAGTATGTATTAGTATGATAAGATATTTTTCAAGACGCCAGGACATTTGGGAAACATTTTATCGACCCACTTGACACCACCAACCAAACGTGAGTCTTTACATACGTGATAAAACTTTTATTGGCTAATGTCAGAAAAAATCTCCTATCGTTGTGCAGCACATCAAAAATTTACCACCGATGCTGGTATTACGGATTATACAAAAGTAGTTGTCACCTCGAGAGCTTATTTACCGTAAACCGGCCATATGTTTCCGTCATTGGTGTAGCAACAGAGATACAACGCAAGTTGCAGCGAAAAAGAATAAGAGGAGGAAGAGTACATATAAGGCAGCTATGTTCGTGCAACTTTTTATTTTTTTTTATTTCTCAAGTTTTCAAAGTACGTGGATTTGTAAAATTATCGTATTTTTTTTTTCTTCATTTTTTCACTTAGATATAATTGTGATGACGTTCACTCGAACATATCGTCATTTAACGACCAGCAAAACTCAAATACCTCCCTGTGACGCGCGTTCATTATTATACACCGCGAGGCATCGAAGGATAAATCACCCGTTTTCTCTGTCGCGTTGGGAAAAATAAAATCTCCCGTACGACCAATACACGTATATATAAGCTTATCATTATCATCACCATCCTGAATTCGCAATTTCCCACGGTTGGTTCTCTACTTTTCCCTTTTCGTCTACTCGCTCTTTTAATCCTTTGGGTATCGGAGGTCCCCGTGTCCCCCCTGCCCCTTACAGCCCCTCCCTCTCTTTTTCTCTGGTAACGCCATGTTTTGACCTTCTCCTCTGCCAGACCCCCACTTCTCCGACCGACATGAACGCTATCCCCCCTTCGGGGTCGCGGAGGGTACAGCAACGCCCCGGTGACTTTCCCCCTCTCTCCCTCGAGCTACTCGCACACACTGTGCTGTACGCCACCCTCCATTCGAACCAAGCTCCGCCTCTCTTTCTATGTACGTATAAAGGGTATGTACAGGTATATAAACATACCGCGCCACACAGGGTCTATCGTTTACTTTTCCAAATACGTGAGCTAGCGAATTTTTTTTTTCCTTTTGTCAAGGTTTCCCTCTTTTTTCTTGCTCCGCTTGACGAGCGTACACGCACGCACGTATACGTGCACGAAAAAAAAACAAAATTGGAGAAAAAGGTTTTTGTTTGCGGGCTATTGGGATTAAAAAATGCTTTATCCACGGCTGGCGAGCTTGATAGTTTCAGAGACGTGATTTAACGGGTGGGGTTCGGTCGATGATGATCAAAGGGGGGGGGGGGAGAATTAAAGCTCGAATTTTATGTTTTACCGAGTAAGATGACCAATAACGTGTGGCTACCTTACTAACTTGGATAACGATTTGTTCGCGAGCTATTCACAACAGCCCGATGGATCGTTGTTCGTGAATGCAAAAGCGCAATGTGCATTTTTATTTTTCGATACTAAACGCGTTACTCCGTCTCGTCCAGTTTTTCACTTTGCATCAGAGTCACTTTTGATCGAACGAAGTGGATTTTAGTCGAATGGTAATTTACTTATTCATCTCGATTTGATAAAGTTCATGTGTTGCTCGTATTGATTCGTTTCATTTCTTCTCCTCGTTTTAATTTTAATGTTGAAATGTAATAAAGTCAAATCATTAAAAAGTCATAGTACAATAACACTCAGTTAGTCGATAAAAGGGTAATAACCGTAACGAAAATTGTCCTCGAATGAAAATTCAATTTTGAAAGTCAATAACTATTTTGGTATTGAATTCGAGTAATATTGAAAAAACAAATCTTGGTAATTCATAGATAACACTTGTAAATTATTAGATCATTCAATGCCATCGATGAATTAAGAGAAAGATGATTGCATTTTTTCTGTTTTTAGAAAGCAATTGTAATACATTTTGCTATCAATTAAAACAATTAAACAAGTAATTAATTGAAAAGAATCATCGAAACTGAGTTGAATTGCTAAAAGTACAAAAAGTTTTTTCTTACAAAAACATATTTTGAAAAGTTGTAAGCTGGATAATTTCTGAAAATTTCCCCCAAAAAAATCGTGCATCCAGGAAATCATATAATAATACACTCGTTGATTAAGGAAAAAAAAAAAAAAAAAAAAAACCCCTAAAAAAAAAAAAAAAAAAAAAAAAAAAAAAAAAAAGTCCATAGCACGAAAAATGGAAGCAAAAACTCCCCGCAAATCAATGTATCCTTCTTGAAACACGTACGCGGAAAAAGTGCAACCCAACGATTTGTCTCCCAGCCCGACGATCACGTGCGATTAGTCACCTCGAATCGTCTCACCCTTAGCCACGATCGTCACTTATTATTATTGTTTGTACCGTTAATTGCTCGTTTTCCGCGTATCGAGTTATACCGTACGCCTCTCCGCCCGTACGTGCAATGAGCCGTGGATAGACTCTTCGAGCCTCGCTCACCCATGCACATGTACATATATATATATATATATATATATATACGTACCAGCACCGTATAATAGAGCGTAACGCCGCCGATTTTCTATTAATAATCTCTATACACAGCGAGGCTTCACCTACTTCTCCTCCACATGCATCCCTCTCGATTTTTCCCAGCGTGCGCGTTAGCCCACTGCTGTTCTGCTTTCATACATTGCACGCGATGAGACTGTGTTCGCATGCGTGCCCGTGTGTGGGTACACTCGCGTAGCGCACAATGTAATTTATCACTCGCAAGCTCTCTCTCTCTCTCTCTCTCTCTCTCTCTCTGGCGCTCTTGGTGGTAGGTATACGATGATGCACGAGGGGATGGGCTTATTTTAGATCGGCGTCTGGGGGTATCTCTCTCTCTCTCTGCGTGCGTGCGTGTGCGTTATGCAATCCAGATAAATATTTACGCCAACGCTCATGTTTTATTTTTTTTTTTTATTTTTTTTTTTCAAATGTAATAGGGAAGGAGAAAAATAGTAGTTTTCCTACGAGTTTGAAAAGTCTCTGTTTGCGAACCGAGAGGTTTGCGGCCCGAGCCGAAGGCGAGGGACGTAACGAGGTTCGTAAAGGAGACTTTTCGAACGAGTTCCGGAAAACTGCTTTTTCGCCCGAGGAAGTACCAGCCTCCCAAAACCACCCGAGGGCGGAAAATGTTATTTTTGCTGATATACATATAATGACGTTGTTGTTGTGATATCGATACTTACTGCCTATAGGCATGGTATTATTTCAACAACCACGTGAATTTGGAAAATTATGAAAATTAAAAAG